AGTAGTAAACTAATCTTCATTCAAATGTTTTTCACGGCTTAGCCTCAAAAGACTGCCTTTAGTTTTCTATATTTCCACAGGTAGTCCTCAACTTACAACCACAATTGAGCCTAACATTTAGGCGAGATATTTGTTAAGTGACTTTTGCCCCATTTTACAATCTTTCTTGTTAAGTGAATCACTGCAGTTGATGAGTTAGTAATCCGATTGTTAAGTGAATCTGGCTTCTCCATTGACTTTGCTTGTCAGAAGGTCACATGACCTTGGGACACTGCAACCATCATAAATATGAACCAGTTGCAAAGCATCTGAATTTTGATCATAGGATCATGAGAATGCTGCAAAGGTTGTAACTGTGGAAAATGGTCACTTTTTTCAGTGCCATTACAACTTTGAATGGTCACTAAATAACCTAACGTAAGTCGAAGACTACCTATAATGCTAGACAAAATATACTTTAACCAAAAATATACTTGGCATAATAGCTTTATGCAATATTTAAGAGTTTAAAATATCACAATGGCTTAAATATTGCTCTGACCACACCTGTTATTTATTGTAACAGGCAACCACTTGCTTTTAAACAGTGGAGTACAACTTGAGTTTACCTTGGTTACCATGCGACAGCTATCTTCATTGCCTTAGTTAGGCTTTTCTTAGGTATAGTAGAAAATCTCAGCTCTCCAGAAGGAAATTACCTTATCCAGCAGGAGGCTCACAACTCAGCTATGTTAACAAGGCTTCATACCAGAGATAATTACAGATCTATTGATCTACCCTTCATCATATTTTTTTTCCTTTCTCTCAGTTGCTCTCTCGGCTCTGTATACCTGAGCAGACAAAAACAACTAGTATAGTAGTTTTATGTCAAGAGAATTAGGAAACCACATATACAAAGAAGTTCTCTGTGTAGCTGCTGCACATAGGATATCTGCCCAATATATGTGCAAGTTCCAAAGATCAAATCCTGGTCCTTTTCCTCCATCCTGTTGGATTCAACAGACTTTGCAGGACGACTTTCCCAACCTAGTAACTCTCTGCCATCTGCCTTAGTTTACACTATGGCACTCTCTCACTCAAGAGACTTCACTTCAATTTTACATTAATTATCTACCTATATTCATCTAACTCCTATCCTTGTCTTTCCCTGTAATAACTGCTGCAGCTCTCCTTTCATTTGCATTGGCTTTGTTGATTGATGCTGACCACCTTTCCCCCTTTCATATCTTTCAACAGGTCTCTCCTCTTGGCTGGGAAACTTAGTTAGTGGAAGAAGTGGAAATGCCCACTTAACTGTAGCCAAATAAGATAGCAATAGCACTTAGACTATATACCGCTTTATAGTACTTTATAAACCTCTAAGCGGTTTACAGAATCAGTATGTTGCCCCTAACAATTTGGGTCCTCATTTTACCCACTTTGGAAGAATGGAAGGCTGAGTCAACCTTGAGCCTGGTGAGATTTGAACTGCCAAATTGCAGGCAACCAGCAGGCAGCAGAAGTAGCAATACTGCATTCTAACCACTGCACCACCACAGCTTAGATCCATCTCTTCAGGTTTTCTACCCTTCTATCAGGCACTCTTCCTATTCCTCTTTCCGTCCATCCTGCACCAAACCAATCTATTTTTCTCCAAAACTGTTTCATACATGAAAGATTAAGTGACTTCCACATGAATGAAAGTTTCCTGAAAAACACAGTATCATATTAATTATGCATTCCTTCTGTACTGAAAATTAAGCCACTCTCACATGCTTTCATGGGTACTCCTGGCATATGTGCTGAAATGCTTACTAAAAATATGTGTCTTTACAATCTGTCCTAATGAAAAAGAATCATTGCACATCATTTCAAAATGCAAAGGCACGTACTTATTTATCAATCTATTAATGTTTACAATGATTTTATCCTAATGAGCACTACAGTGGCCTAAGTGGCAAGTTCTTTGCATCCTTGAAAAAGATTTATATCTCTGATTTCAAGACATTGGATTACAGCACTTTGATAGCAAGAATTGTACCTGACTCCAGAATTAGCAAATTAATGTTTTAGTTAAAACAAAACTGGGATATGCAATCGAAGGTGAAACAAATGCAGTCCATCTCATGGGAAATATAGAGCACTATAAGAAATAACTCACTTCTGTTTATTTGCTCATGTGGTTTATGTATCAGCTAATTCTCATGATTAATTTGCTGGTACAAATACAACAATAAATCTACTGTATGTAAAGTATTACCATAAGTCACTGGCTATAATTAATTTAAATGAGACTGATATTTAAAACTGCAATAATAACAACACATCACCAAAAGAAATATTCAAAAATGTTAGAAAAAAATGGAAACATGAATAAATGCCACTGATTCATTTCCTTTATTGTAAGAAATAGAAAAACTCAAGAACACAAGGTAATTTTCGAATCTTGTACGAAAGCTTGAACAGAAAAAAAGAAAAAAGGAAGAATTTTATTTATTTATTTAGTGTATGGCAAAAGTGAATGCTGACAAACATAAATGGAGGAAGTTAAAAAAATGCAAAAAAAAAAAAGGAGTACTGCTATGTAAGATTCCATGTGCATGCTTTTTCACATTTGCCAGCATGCTGAAATTGCTCTCTCTTTTATTTAAATAAGAACTTCACTGTGAAACTCTGAAATTCCTTTTTAAACAATATATCTAAAAATTCCCAAGGAGACGAAAAGAAATTGTAGCACATTAGAGTGCTGGATTTAGTCTAGAAATAACTAGGCTCAAACCCTTGTTGTTGTTGTTGTTGTGTTCCCACAATCAGTCAGACTGGTTTGACATTTTTGTCTACCTATCAAGTCCTTACCAAGGACCTTACCATAGACAAATCTGGATGTTTGACGTGTTACAGATATTGATGCAGGATAAAAACTTTGTTGTAGTTGTTGTTGTTGTTATCTCTTTTATTCATTAAACATGAAACTCATTCAACTGAACATTTAAAAATGTATCACAAATACCAGTGACTGGTGCTAATGGTTGATACGGGTTACTACATATCAACCAAGTATCTTCTTAAAATATACGATGTTCTGAGTAGTAGTTGCTGTGGTGGTGGTGGTGGTGGTGGTGGTGGTGATGATGATGATGATGATGATGATGATGATGATGATGAAATTTATAATCAGTAAAAGAAATAGGGAAAGTATTAAGATGTATGGCTAGAATAGATATCAAAATTATCTGAAAGCAAAATTTTCAATGAAATTGGGTGTTGTTCCTCAGATCATTTTGTAGAGAATTTCCTGAAAATAAAAATGTATGTTGTATGAGTAGGAATCCATTAATAATTTAATTTCAGTTTAATCCAATTAAGGCCATTTACTCCCGATAGATACCAGAATATTTTCGTTTCTTTTCCTGTAGTATATGTACATGCGTTGCCATATACCTAACCAAAACATATTATTAAAAATGCTTCAAGGATTTGGAAAAAGATTCAGGCAAAACAAGGTACATCTACCAGAGTTAGTGATTGTGCTTTTCAATCACTGATTCTAATCAGCAAATCAGCATCAGAGTTTGTGGCATCATTAATAATAAAATATATAGACATTCTAAAAGAAAAGAGAATGCACCAGTGATTATTTCTAGCCATTACTTTTAAGTAAGTCTGTGAAGCTCTTATTTTTATAATTCCATCAAGAGGTTATGGGAATCAAAAGGATTTATGATTCCTGTTTATCTGATACCAAAAAGGTGTTCCAAGTAAGAATGGAATCAACTCGACCAGTACATTGGGGTTTACTTACTACATAATCATCTTCACTTCCCAAAGGCAAGATCCTGACTACAAGTTACAACTATGTTCATTTTACATAGGCAAAAGCAGTCCCTTCATTATCTGTGACTCCTTGTTAAAGGTTTAACCATTCAAAGAACTTTATGCAAACCTCTCAGATTTTCAAATCAAATGGCATATTCCACATATGAAATCATTAGGAAGAGAAGTAAAAAAAGAACTATTGATACAAAAGTTGCCTTACACAATCTACTATGATACCACAACTGGAATATTGTGTAGTTCTGGCAACTGCACTGAAAACAAATATTATACAGGCATGAAAGTGCTAAAAACGGCAACCAAAATGAGTGGTGAAGTGGAGTCCCCTTTTAAGAGAAAAGGCCTACAACTGGGTCACTTTAGTTTGGAAATAAGGAGGATAAAGAAAGACATGACAGAGGATTATATAGGCAATGTGGGGAAAAGTTCTTCCTCCCATGTTCACAATTCAGACTGCCAGCTTAAACTACAGTATATACACTGAGATTTAGGACTACAAGAATAATTAAATTTTGTCCACAAGTATAGTAGCCAGTCTGGATGGTTTAAAGAGGATTGGACATAACATGAAAGATCAGCTTCTTTACAGCTAGTAAAGTTGGGATATATTTTCTGCCCCCTGAATAATTGTCAGCATTTCTTCTGTACAGGTTGCTGGGAAGGGACTGCAAAAGAGGCTTTCTATCACTCTCTTGTCCAGGCTTCAGAGCTTCCCAGATCCAATCATTTGCCACTGTGTGATGCAGAATGTTGAATCCTTAGCCTGACCCAGCAAGATTCTTATGTTTTCTCTTCTATGGCAACTTCAAACAGTTGGATGCCTCCCAGATCTGTTATGACTATGGTTTCCAGAATTCCCAATAAATATTCAACGATAAAATCACTTTAGCAGTAAATTTATTCATTCAGTTACCTTGAATGCACTACTTGAAAAGCAGTAGATCAAAATTTTAAAAGCTATGACATAGTACTAGTTTGTAAAATTATATCGTTATCGTTATTCAGTTTTCTCAGAATAATTAAAAAACATAAAACAGCTATAGTATGTTGTTCTTGAAATATCCTCTCTGGAAGGCAAACTGGCATCAACATTGGCTTAATTTCAGCAGCAAGACCTACTGTTCACCCAAGCAACTGGGTCACAGTGGCAGTAATTTACTTACTTACTTGCTTACTTACTTATTTACTTCATTTTCTATTGCTACCCACCTCAGTCAATAACTCCAGCTGCTTAAAATTAAAAAAAACTTTACAATTAAAAATACTAAAAAAACCTGAAAACAATAAAAACATTTAGATTAAATATACTGAGAACAAGATACTTGGCCAGTGAACAAGGTAAGAAACAGGGTGCTTAACACATTCAGCACCCCAGACATGGGAACATAGCAGGTTTTTAGAGCTTTATGAAAGGCTAACAAGGTTGAGACAAATTTGTGCTCTATTTTTTCTAGATTGTGTGATACTTTTTTTGTTTTACTATTTTATTGTTTCCATCTGATCAGAAAGTTTTCTTTGCATAAATAGGCAGATAATGGAAGACCTCTTGGCTGAAGGAGAATTCTTTCATGGAGAACATCCAAAAGATGCTACCCAACAATAATTAAGTAACTATGGCAACTCAGGCATTCATCCTCACTCTTCACTTCTCTGTTTTTCTCCTCCCTTCCCTAACTTGGGAAGCTGACAAGCAGCTTTTTAATTTTTTTCTAGCCCCCAGAAACTTTGTCTTAATCCTATCCCCTTTTTTCCTCTGGCTGCAAATGTTACCTATGGCTGAACAGATGTAAAGCTTTATCGAACCTAGGTATGCAGCAATTGCCCTGGAAACTATCTTCAATGAAGCCCAACCAATGGTGAATAAAGCAAGCAGGTAGAAAAGGCAGAAGAGATCTCTCTATCAACATTTTTGATAATCTAAACAGATTATTAGCTTAACTAATGAGAACAATGCTAGGAAGATACCCCAGCAAAATCATGTTGACAACATGATAGAATATGAACTAGACATGATGATGCTGTTAAGCTTTGAACTTGATTAACTGTACCCAAAGTATTAGATCCAATTGTGTGTGATGGTTAAAACACCAGGCTAGAAATCAAGACACTGTTAGTTCTAGCCCTACCTTAGCCACAAAACCAACTGTCCTTGGATGAATCATTCTCTCTATGCCCTAGGAAGAAGACAATGGCAAAATACTTCTGAAACTCTTCCCAAGAAAAGTGCAGGGACTCAACCAAGAGGTCATCAAGAATCAACAATGACTTGAAGGCACATGCATACAGAGCATAACTGCCTATAGAAAATAGACATATTTGGCATAACCTTCATTTGAGTTGTTCAACATCTATATTGATGGCCCAGGTATAACAGAACGGCAGATGTTCATTAAATCTGTAGAGGACACAAAACTGGAAAGGTGGATAACTTACAAAAAAATTAACAAATTTCAGGGTGAACCTAACAAGTTAAAACAATTGATTTTCCATAAATAAATAAAAAATTCCACATTTTGAAAAACACACACACACACACACACACACACACACACACACACACACATATATATATATATATATATATATATATATATATATATATATATA